AAAAAAAAAAAAAAAGAAAGAAGCCAGATATAAAAGGACAAATACTATGTGGGTAGTCAAAGTCATAGAGACAACTGCGTGCTGTGGTTTGCACCTGTAGTCCCAGCTCCTAGGGGCTGAGACAGGCTGAGGCAGGAGGATTGCTTGAGAGTAGGAGTTCAAGATCAGCCTGGACAACAAACATAGTGAGACCCTGTCTCTTAAAAAAATTACAAATATGGGTGGTAGGATGATGGTTACCAGGGGCTGGGCAGATGGGGGCATAAGAATTTAATGGGTACAGAGTTTCAGTTTTATAAGATGAGAGAAGAGTTATGGTGATGGATGATGGTTATGGTCATACAATATTATGTATGTGTCTAATACCACTGAACTGTACACTGAAAAGTGGTTAAGAATGTAAATTTTATGTTATATGTGTTTTACCACGTTAAAAATAACTTTTAAAACCATACTGTAATATGATCCTGATGTTACCTGTTTAAAGTTATATTTAAAATGAGAAGGAAATAACTGTTATCTCTGTATGATATTTTAAATTTTCTTTTATACTTAAAACTTCCCCAAATTTTGTATACATATTGTTTTTATTATCAGAAAAAGATAACTTTTTAAACATAGAGGCATAGAAATTTTAAAATAAGACAAGTTAGTAAGAAAAAGAGAATTTTCTACCTGAGATTTTCCTATCTGTTGGGTGTCCTTTTCTGCTTCCTAGAATCATTGTAGTGACCAAGAACTCTTTTCCAGGTGAATCATTTTGCCTTACTTGTCTGCTGACTTTCTTAGGTGAAAGAGACACTTTTGAGTTTGATGCGTTTTGCTTTATCCACAGTCCTGACATGTTTACCCTGACCAATCTTTATCCCCTTACCATCCCCACTTAACAGCTTGTGATTGATTACAAGACAACTGGCATTGTCCTGGCAAAGTCTGCAGCTTCAGAGCAAAGCTGAATCAACTGGCTTATTTGTCCACCTCTGCTAAACTAAATGGCACTGCCATCTCTACTCCTTGTTCCCTTTGTTATTCCCTTAGTAACTGTAGATCAGCACCTGATACTCCAGGAAGGATACTTCATTTTTATGTCTCTGAAATTTGGATGGCAAATTATAATCTTACAATTATAATTGTCAGGAATTTTTCCTTTTTACTGGTTCGTAAAATAATAGTATATCTTATAGTTTTAGCATTTTTTTCTTTTTTAGTTTTAGCATTATTAAATCAAGAAAAATGGGTATTTCTGCATACAATAAAAGCATACAGCAAGGAAAAGGGGGAAAAAGAATATCTGCTAGAATAGTGCTTCCTATAAATAAATGGTTAATGTCTTTCTGTTCTATAGAGTATTTGTGCAGTGAAGGGAGGTTTATTATAGTTATTTTGTTATAGAGGAAAGAAGTTTGGGCTTTTAGTAATAAATTGAAAATTTAAGTCTTCATTTTAGTCCTGCCTACATACACAGTGAGGTAGAGGGAAAGTTGGACTTTTCAGGGCGGTGCCTATGGCTCAGTGAGTAGGGAGCCAGCCCTATATACTGAGAGTGATGGGTTCAAACCCGGCCCCAGCCAAACTGCAACAAAAAAAAAGCTGGACATTGTGGCGGGCGCCTGTAGTCCCAGCTACTTGGGAGGCTGAGGCAAGAGACTCACCTAAGTCCAGGAGTTGGAGGTTGCTATGAACTATGTAACGCCACAGCACTCTACCCAAGGCTATAAAGTGAGACTCTTTGTCTCTGCAAAAAAAAAAAAAAAAAAGTTGGACTTTTCAGAATCTTAGCCAAACCATTACTTTCTATTTGAAAAGCATGACTATAAACCAAATTGTTATTATTTAATATTAATTGGATAGCAAGTATAGGTTGGTGCTGACTCGTCATATCTTCCATCCTTGGCTAGAAAAAGACATCTCAGGTGGTTTGCCTTGTGTTACTTTAAGAGAAAAAGACAACCTTGTGATTGACAACCAAAATGGCTTTTGCGTTGTAAATATGGGTCAGAGCTTTCACTGTGGCTTACAAGCACTCAGTCGGTATTGATAAGAAAGAGGCTGATAATGAGTGCCTTGTGTCTGTAAGACGCATTACCTAGGCTAAAAGAAAGTCTCACATTAGCTCTATAACTATGTAAGACTTGAGATTTCTCTAGCTATTTATTATCATTTAAAAATTACTCCTGGGTCTCTTAGTGCTGGTATCATGTATTTGCTAGAAGGCTTGCAACCACCGAGTCAGTAGAGAGATCCAAGGAGAGGGATGAAAGGGTGGCTTGTCATGCTGCAGTGCTAACTTTTATTCATCTTACACATCCCCTTTCCTGTTCCTGTACCTGCAGCGAAGCTGCCGCCCATGCTGTCGCCACCCTGGCTGAAGCCACCTTACAAGGTGGGGGACAGATCGTCTTGTCTGGGGAAACCGCAGCAGCCGTTGGAGCACTTACTGGAGTCCAAGATGCTAATGGTAAGAGAGCATAAATATTTTATTGAATTCCTTCCCTGTTTCCACTTAAATCTTCTTGATAAGACTGGCAACAAACCCTTCAGAAAGAGGTTGAACCTTGGTTTGAGTTTTTCTTATTTGTAAGTATTTCATGCCTAGGAGTATTCTAGGAGCCTCTGATTCCTTTCATTAGAAGGAGGCTTAGGCATCTCCTGAAGGAAAATGCCATAATAATGGCTACCTAATTGAAATTTTACTTAAAAAGTGATTATTTCACTGTGATAAGACTTGCTGAGAGGCATTTAAAATTTGCTGTTAGGTACATTGTCTTCTTTATTCTCTCATGGGATGGGTTAATCAGTGTCCTTTACTGTAGCAGAGCTCTCTTGTGGAGGAGTGCATCATGGTAAGGTAGAGTGTGTGACTACCTCCAGAAAGGCACTACTGTCTTACCTATCCACAGGGTTAGGCAGCAGCATGTGATGAAGGCACTTTTTCTGGTTGGTACTGTGGGTTCTGCTTCCTATGTGGCCTAACAAAAGACTTCTGGATTTAGCCAATATCATGCTACCATCCCTGCCCTTCTTCCTCAATTCTTTTACTTCCTGAATATTGGTGAATATCTCAAATAAACAAAAGGGATAACATTCGTAGAAATATGGTGGCAAAAATGTACAGCTCCAGTGGATCCAGCTTTTAGGGAAGTACCTCAGAAATCTGGATCAAAGAGGAGGACCAGCCCTGTTCTGAGATACTCTGCATGATTGTTTCTTAGACTTTAAAAAATAGTATATACTTAGATAATTAAGTGGGACAAATTAAGTACTCTATAGTTTTTCAGAAATCATTGCTTTAAAGTCCTAGAAAGAGGGGCTGGGTGCATTGGCTCATGCCTGTAACCCTAGCACTCTGGGAGGTTGAGGCAGGTGGATTGTCTGAGCTCACAAGTTCGAGACCAGCCTGAGCCAGAGCGAGACCCCATCTCTAAAAATAGCCAGGTATTCTGGCAGCTGCCTGTAGTCCTAGCTGCTTGGGAGGCTGAGGCAAGAGAATCACTCCAGCCCAAGAGTTTGAGGTTGCTGCAAGCTATGTAACGCCACAGCACTCTACCAAGGGTGACAAAGTAAGACTCTGTCTCAAAAAAAAAAAAAAAAGAAAGTCCTGGAAAGAGGATAGATAAATAACATATTTTCTTTAGGCAGAAAGTTCCTTAATGGCATTAGTGGCTGAAAGAAAAGTTCTTGGTGCTCTTTTGGGGTAGGCCTCTAAAAACTGAATATGCTGTTAATTGGAAAAGTCATTGAAGAAGTAGGAGGAAACGAAATACTTCTCTCTCTCCAGAGAAGAAATACATAGGATATTAAGAGAGCCATTGTGGCTTCTGAGAATCATTTTCCAACAAGACCCAAAAAAATTTCAATACTAAAATACAACCTTTTTTTCTTAAAAAAAAAAAAAAAAAAACAAAGTAAATTCAATACTAAAATACAACCTGTTTTTTTCTGTAGGTCCAGGGGCTTTCATAAACTAACCTAAATCAAGACAGAGTTGATCTTAGCCACAATGCTGCAGGATAAAGGGCATCTTATAGCCATGCATATTCAAGATGAAATGGACCATAGATAGAATTAAGGAAAACCTCTCTGTAGCAAGAATCCTACCCCTATTTTCTTCCCTTTTTTTATCCCTCATGGTAATTCTGATCTACCCTGAACAATGGGAAGGATATCTGGCTAGGTAGTGTTCTCCTAAAGTATAATTCTTGTAATTCACTATAGAACTGTGGTCTTGGTAGGAGACTTTGTTATCCATTCTAACCAACTTGACATATTTGGGAGAGATCAGACTGCTCTATAGTACTGACTCCTCCCCAGTGTCAGATGAATAAATTTATGTGAAATCTAAGGACCCTCTGAGTTTCTAGCCAATAGTCCTGTTCAGCCATACAATAAAGTTGGACCACATCCACTGCTGTTAATCGCTGGAAGCTGCCTCTTTTAGTAACCTTGAGTTGTTAGAATCAATTGGTGTGATTTCATGTTGTTGGCTGCATTTGTGGTGATTCTGGTTTATATCCTAAAAGCCAGTTCCTCTAGAGCAGACAGGCCCTAGTTTCTGACTGTCAACACTTGCTGAACTCAGGCCTGAAGATTTGG